TATTTTTCAAAAGTCTTTGTAATGTATCCGCTAGGTGTTTTACCTTTGTCGAATCCTACACATTCTAACTGATATATATGCTGAGTACTGTTGTACACAGGCTTTTGTTAGAATCAGTTAAGATTTCCTAAACAATTGTAGATTTAACAAAGAATCTTAAATCTTTGTGATCATTTGATAAATTGTTCACTTTGATATCTTTCTGAGAACATGTTTTTTTTTAAATTGAGCACATTTTTCCTATGACATATATATATATATGTATATATCGGGATACATATTGCAATACAATCGTTCTGTATTGCAATATATCGCAATACATTCCAGGCGCATTGTGTCACCCCTAATAATTAATATATAGAGGATACATAATAGTATATCCAGTAATACCAAATATATTTCACGAGTGGGGATAATATTTTGAAAGGTAATCAAATTATTAGTCACATCAGTATATGAAAGGATGTTACCATCTCATTTGTCAGTGATGTGTATTTATGAATACAAATGTTTGCGATAGTGGTCCATGGAAATGAATATTTAAATTGGAATGCTGCTCGTCAAAGAAAATATGCAGGAAGTATGCTGTGTAACGCTGCTAAAACCGAACCTGTGACAGTTGTGTGTTAACAGTGTCACTATGTATACACTAGCATTATTAAATAGAGCAATAGTTATTAAAAATGTGATATTGGGTGTAAAGTTGCCTCGGGCAACTTCTGAACATATGTCACAAGAATCAATAATGCATAATGGATTAGACATTCTAATACACATGAACTTTATGACATTTTACGACTTAACCTATTATATAAGAAGCTAAACAGAAACTTTGAATTGTATGATGAATCGTTATTACACATAATGTGTATCAGTTCTCCAATTATTATCTACTTTAAAAATAAAACCATATTAAAAATTATATTAATTCCGGGTCGTTGCATTTCCTTTCCTCAATACCAACATCACACCCTCCTTAAAATATCTCGTTCTAATAATAGTTACTTCAACCATTCCTATATTAAAATGTATAAGCTACATTGCTTTCTTTATGAACTAATGAAACTTGTATCTGCTTCAAGGATTTATTGCAGTTGAACTACCCGTCCAGTGAAATTTGCCCCATCAGACTGCTGGTTATTCCAACATCCTTTGGGATCCAGTATAATGCTGTAAACTCATTTCTAATGAAAACTTTCAGAAGCGACATGTATATTCCATCATTCTCTCCAATATAACCGAAATATATTGTGCGACATAGCAAGTCAGATCAGACAGGTTAATCTGAATAATACGTTGTGTCTCACAGTATGTCATATACATATAAGACAGATAAAGCCGGTCACCAGGATGTGTCTCACAGTGCGTCATATAAGAAAGATAAACCGGCCAGCAGGTTTTGTCTCACAGGGTGTCGAATAAAACCGGTTTATCCGGCCAGCAGGTTTTGTCTCACAGGGTGTCGAATAAAACCGGTTTATCCGGCTAGCAGGTTGTGTCTCACAGGGTGTCATATAAGACAGAAAAAAACCCGGCCAGCAGGTTGTGTATCACAGGGTGTAATATATAACGGGTTTACCTGGTCAGCAGCTTGTGTCTCACAGGGTGTAATATATAACGGGTTTACCCGGCCAGCAGGTTGTGTCTCACAGGGTGTAATATATAACGGGTTTACCTGGTCAGCAGGTTGTGTCTCACATTATGTCATATACATATAAGACAGATAACCCGGCCGGAAGGTTGTGTCTCACAGTGCGTCATATAAGACAGAAAACCCCGGCCAGCAGGTTGTGTCTCACAGTGCGTCATATAAGACAGGTAAACCCGGACAGCAGGATATGTCTCACAGGGTGTAATATAATACGGGTTAACCCGGCCAGCAGGTTGTGGCTCACATGGTGTCAGATAAAACAGGTTAACCCGGTCAGAAGGTTGTGTCTCAAGGGTGTAATATAAAACAGGTTTACCCGGCGAGCAGGTTGTGTCTAAAGTATGTAATATACATATAAGACAGATAAACCCGGCCAGCAGGCTGTGTCTCACAGTGCATCATATAATACGGGGTAACCTGGCAACAAGGATGCGTCTCACAGGGTGTAATATAAAACAGGTAAACCCGGCCAGCAGGTTGTGTCTCACAGGGTGTCATATAAGACAGAAAAGCCCGGCCAGCAGGTTCTGTCTCACAGTGCGTCATATAAGACAGAAAACCCCGGCCAGCAGGTTGTGTCTCACAGTGCGTCATATAAGACAGAAAACCCCGGCCAGCAGGTTGTGTCTCACAGTGCGTCATATAAGACAGGTAAACCCGGACAGCAGGGTGTGTCTCACAGGGTGTAATATACTACGGGTTAACCCGGCCAGCAGGTTGTGGCTCACATGGTGGCAGATAAAACAGGTTAACCCGGTCAGAAGGCTGTGTCTCAAGGGTGTAATATAAAACAGGTTTACCCGGCGAGCAGGTTGTGTCTAACAGTATGTAATATACATATAAGACAGATAAACCCGGCCAGCAGGCTGTGTCTCACAGTGCATCATATAATACGGGGCAACCTGGCAAAAAAGGTTGCATCTCACAGGGTGTAATATAAAACAGGTAAACCTGGCCAGCAGGTTGTGTCTCACAGGGTGTCAGATAAAACCGGTTTATCCGGCCAGCAGGTTGTGTCTCACAGTGCGTCATATAAGACAGATAAACCCGGCCAGCAGGTTCTGTCTCACAGTGCGTCATATAAGACAGGTAAACCCGGCGAGCAGGTTGTGCCTCACAGAGTGTCAGATAAAAAAGGTTAACCTGAGCAATATTGCCAGTCGACCACAGTGTCAGAATACATAGGTTTTTAAAATGTTTTTTTCTGGATTTGGAAGGAAACGTCAGGATGTTTACCTGTATTTGCATGTTTACCCCTAACTCTGATAACGTTTTTCGCAGTCATAGAGCCACTTTTGCCATATGTTCGACATCAAGAGTTTTCATCTCTTCGCATATAAAAACATTATATTATCATTACTGCGTGTGGCATTTTTACCGAAATTTGATCTAAAACCCTAAAACGTGTAAGAGTACACTGGACAGCTTAGTTTAGGTCAAAATGTAGCTGTAACACATTCTCAAGTCACTGTGTAAAACATATCTCGAGTATAGATAAGGATATTATCAACTTTTAGTGCAGCTGTACATGTACAGAAAAACCTGGTTTAGTATTCCTAAAGGCCATCTGATATAAAATTGATTCCGATAACCAATATTTTGTGAACCATACCGAAAACAGATTCTTGTTCTAATATGTACACAACCTCTCATTTTACCAATATACTGAGTACCACATGCTGTAGGATGATGCCGTTATATAACTTAAGTAGACATATTTCATGCTATGTACTTTTCTTGCTTGCGTGGGAGATGTCAAAAGGGATGACATATTTTTCGTTGACTTTTCGTTGCAAAGCATTTTTGTCAATTCCTTTTAATTTATGCTCGATATGTTTTATTGTGAAATAAATAAAGAAGGAAATAAACTGGTTAAATAAGTGCTACCACAACATACAATCTTAAAGAACGGGATATTTTAATTTATTCCTCTTCTAGGAAACAAAACTACTTTACTTCGACGTAATATGGGTTTGTGAAATCCCTCATTTTTTTGTTGTTTTTCTTTTTCTAATTGTCTATTCATTATTTCCGGAGCTCATATATATCAATCAGTTGTAATACTATAGTTTGACGCCCTTTTTAACCTAACAATCGGATCCTGCTTTAGGAGGCGTAGTTATTGAGTGGGCAAAACTGATGGTTACAACGTCGTTCCAAAACAACAAGAGATCAAACTTGTAATTTAAACAACTATTTTGTTGACCAACATGCATGTACGTGAAAATGCTTATAACTTAACGCTCTTCAAAATGAAAAATGTAGAAAGGGTTTTTTCGTCCCTTTCTGCTTGTTATTCTGATACAATAGCAATGTCTTTGCTCTAACTTTTAGCGGTTGGATATTTTCGAATAATCTCACTTGTTATTTACACAACGATCAAAGGCGTATAGCAACCACTATTGAGACACGCTGTTAATTTATCAAACCAAAAATGTATTTTTTTCAATAAATCAAGATAGCAGTTTGTGTCTTCAGGTGATATTTAGCGTTCATAAATACCCAGGGAACATTTTGCAATCATTTATACAAAATCACCGCCAAAATAAAATGATCGCATCCAAGTTTTCTGTCGTTTTTACATAACGTAGTATTCGTTAAATACAATATCATGGAACTTTATTTCTTTTTATATATAATATGAGACATAATAACTCAAGGCAGAAACTCGACTTATACACTGTGAATGTGGTTCGGTTAACGAGAGTGGGCAGTTCTAGAATGTAAGCCAGTTTGTCCAGCAATATAGGTATGTTGTCCACACAGTACATTATAAATGATATATCTTGCCAATGCAAAGTTGAGACAACATTAAATAAAACTATGTTTGTATTATATGGGTTATTTTATTTAACATCTATATAAACAAGAACCGGTATACAAATATCGCAGTATATATTTGTATATCTGTTGTTGTTTTCAGCGTAACATTGACACATCGTCGTGTTATTTGTTATAATCATTCATCAGTATGAGTACTAGATATATGCCTATAGCTGACTGCTATCCACACATGTTTCGGTAGCAAAGGGAGAATCAATGCTTGCCACATCATTGTTGTGTCAGTCGTTTTTTTGCTCTGCCCATCTCAAACATAACAGGACACTAGTCAAATCTTAGAGAGTATTACCCAGCATACAAGTAACACGAAACTCAAAGTAAGTCTTCCATTGTTTCTTTAGTGACATATTTATAATATAGTCAGCTATACCATTTGTTAATACCGATATGATTATGAGCTGTATGTCGATAGAGTAATAACGAAATCAAGTCCCATTCTGTTAATGAAAGGGAAAAAAGATATCAAAACTATCAAGACATGTCGAAATAAAATGGAGTTTTCACTTACCTTGGGCGGCCTATGGATTGTAAATGAGGACAGATTGGTATGAGGCTCGTTATAAACCTAACTAATTTTAATACCTTGTGCATGTAAATATACGTCGTTAATCATTAGACAACGCCCGCATGTCATATGTTACGTGTTCCGCGCCGCTAGTCCTACTGTTTAACATCGTGACGCGTTGTTTGTATTTCGAACAGTCAAAGTTCTAAGAAAAACGTTCAATTGTTTTACTGGATGAAAATAAAACTGTTGAAGGGAGAATTTCTTATAGTTAATATATTAAAATGTCACGACGTGCTATTTGTATTAACGACATACAATGTCAATGAAAAAATCTAGATGCTTTTATTTTTATGTGCAAAGTGCTGTTTTAGAATGCTCCCACCTACAATAAGAAGTATTATTGTTGCTTTTTTTCAGCTATTCATGTCAGACCACTTACATTGATTTTAATTAATACTAAATATGTTGATGACCTTTCGTTGTTACTTGTGTACTTTCATTAGGATATTTATTTTCTCGTCTTAAACAATAGCATTAACAAACCTGGGTTAATTAAGTTAATGTTTAAAATATCAGGTGAGTTTTTAACGATTGTATTGAAACAGATTACAGCTACATTTGACGGGGAACCATTGTCCGGCAACAAACGCCCAAACATAAATGATGTTAAAAATATTGTGTTAGTAAACAACAATAAACAATAGTTGTGGCTTTTAGACAAGAGATGATGCATATCGTGCTATTCAGTTTGAGCTATTTCTTAATAATGTGACGTCAGTAGTAGACGCCGTCTATTTTCCACGCCCATTTTGTACCATAACACCTTGACCGAAAGTTGTCAAGTAGACGCAGATCTATTGACCATATCAATTTGCATCAACTAATCAACCACGATTAATGTGATCCAGGATATGATCTACATGTACGTCTCAATTAACGCAAAACGTAGAAAAAATGTCTTTTAACATTTCAAATGATGTACACACCAAATAACTGCTGGTGTTAATTTTTTTTCAGAATTTTTTTATTATCATCTACAGCACTTAGTCTCAAACATAAAATCAATATGTTGCATAATTTGAACAAGCAAATAAACTTTCATAAACAATCTGAAATACTTTTTATTTTTCAGTGAAAATATTGGAATTTTCAAAAATCATGCGTTAATTTCTTGTTATTGTGTCGATGTCTATAAAAATAAAGATGAATAAACAAATTAAAAGCAAAAATGGAAACAATAGTACTACAAATGGTACAAACTTAAAGTAATACGCCTTTAGATGCCTTGCAGTCAGAATAATGATATTGTATACTAGATCCAGCGTGATAGTGATTAAAGTTGAGCTTGCTTGCGTTTGTAAAAATAAGCAGTGCGGGAAGTAAATTTAAAGAAAGGCGAAGCGAGTTGAATGAAAGTTTCAACCCTTAGTCAGGGTTGCTTGAACAAGCGAAGATTGATTATGTAGCTGTGACCTTGACCTTAAACGTATGACCTTGACCTCAACTGTTTTCGAGAGATAAGTTTTAAAAACACCTGCATTAAATTTCGTAAAATATATAATAAAGAGCTTTTTGACAATCAAAATGTTACTTAACTGACAGATGACCTTGACTCATCGTCCCAGGAACCTTCAGTCGATCTCGAGAAATCATTCTGGGAACAATTGAATTACGTTTCAAAGAATTCAGTTGAATTTTGAAACCAGTAATATGCAGACAGAACAAACATTTCCAATATTTGTGGAGTCACGGTAGTCTAGTAGACGGACGCCGGGCTCGTGACTGAAGAGTTGCGGGTTCGAGTCACGGCACGGCACTGTGTTGTTTCTTTGAGCAAGATACTTTACTCCGCTTTTTTCCAGTCTACTCAGCTGTAAATGAGTACATGGTTGGGCAGTGCTAGAATTGTTGAATGCTAGCTGTGAGCGCCGAAATGGCAGCAGAGAATGTATGTTCCCCAGGGAGTTAAGAAAGATATTGGCTAGTTGCAAGGGCCCCATAACCTAGCATAATCATTTCTGAACCGCTTTGATACGACCTACGAACTAGGTTGTGATAAAGCGGTATATAAGAACCTCGAATCAGAATTAATAGTATTATTAAAATATCTCAAGGAAAGATTCTGTAGTTATGACTTTTGATTTTAACAGATTACTTTGACCTTGAAGTTGCCGATATCAATCTATAAAATTAATAAATTGTTTAATAGTTCCGGAACGTTGGTTGAAAAGGATAGTAATGAGCATGCGGACAAGCCAAAAATGACAGACACATCGAGAGTATGACGCTAATACAGTTTCCACTAAAGGAGGCCAGGAGGCATAATGGACGGATATTGTAATATTGGTTCTGCAATGCGCAGTAGCAATCATCGAAATCACAGAAGTAAAAAAGGCAGAAAAGTAAACATGAAGGTTTTCTGTTGCCCTCTGTACAACGACTTTCCTAAATAAATTATTTTTTATATCGTATTTTAGCGACATTTTATTTTTAAAAGACCCTTTCAAATTCAACGCAACGAAACAAAATGAACACGACCTGACAATTAAGGCACCAAAATGGAGAAAATGAACGGTTAACTTTTCTTATGCTTACTGTATCATTCCCTATGGTATCACCGATGAAATCTAGGTAGGCATATTCGTGACCGAAAATCTATGTTATGTGGCAATACACATTTGTGAAACACACACACAAACAAATACAAAACAAAATCAAACTAATTAATAACATTATTTCGCTGTAGCAATATATAACCTTCGAGCTGGATAAAAGGTAATGATGACAGTCGTAACATAATCGTAAGTCGAACACATATCAAGGTAACTACTAAAATTATATGACAAGTTTACGGTATTTTGCGTTTGTATTTCGATTGGCTTTCGGTTCCCAATCCAATTGTCATACTAGTCGAACGAAAAAAATATTTAGTGAACCGCTTTTTATTGAGGCCGGTGATATTCATTATTGTAAATATTCCGATGATGAAACGAGAATAGTATGTATACCTATTGTTTAAATTGGTATTGTAATCCGTAAAAAATTCTCACTATCTATATTAGATAGATGTACTCATTAGCATAAATATGACGTGTTGATAATATGAATTCCGTTTTTTTGAATATTTCATCTTTCATCCGTTTTCTGTGATCAATAGTTGTCAGATATGACATAAATACAATTGTGTTATATCTATATATTGATACGTGGCTTACTTACTCTCGTTTTGTGGATTGATACGCACACTTCTATTGTCATTTTATGACACTATGATTAACCGTTACATTACAAAATTACCTCGCCTCTTAACAGATGTAAAAACTCGTCATCCAGAGCTATCTAACTTTCATGCATCGCAGGCATAACTGCATTTTTTTTGCAATGCTTTGAACCAATCATTGTAATGATGGATCTTATACATCGACTAAAATGTCGTGCATATTTATCATCATATGACTCTTCATTGTTACCTTTGTGTAATTAATTGCATACTAAAGTAACATAATTAATCTTTTGTTATTCATTATTCTCACTTGTGTGCCGCTTCTGATTGCACACCGAGCAAAAATGTTAGTCCGCATAACAGGTTTCAAAGGTACCGAGAGCAGAATCGTAAGGCATATACACATACAGATTCGTCCATACAAACATACACACATTCATGTACATACATGTACATACCTGCCTGCCTGCCTGCCTGCCTGTCTGTCTGTCTGTCTGTCCGTGTCTGTCTGCCTACCGACCTACCTACTTACCTACCCACCAACCGACTGACCGACCGACCGACCGACCGGCAAACAGACAATAAGACTGAGAGAATATATGCCTATAACTACCAACTGTCCATAACAATAGACAGGCGGTCTCTTAAGCATGGTAAAGAGGCGGCCTGTCTATAGTTATCGTCTGTTTGTCACTTAAGTCACATCTTTCTGAAATCTTGCTTTAGATTGACACTAACTGTCACATTTTAATTCGAATCAATTAAATTCGAGGATTTGGTAAGGGCTGTATATCAGGCAACGGATACCAATTATATGTCACCTGTCTAATACCTCCACATGTGTGTTAGTCCTCCCGTGTGCTGTAAATGGATTTTTGCTTGTTAGGCGGTGAAACTGTGTTTCCAACTGACTTCTGTTTAAGTGTTACACAGACATTGCAGCACTAATCCCCAGAGCATAGTATACTACATCTAGGCTGTTGAAGGTGTGTAGACAGGAGATAAAAGCACAGTTATTAGCGTGGATGACTGAATTGTTTAACACCCCGAAAAAGCTTTATCTGTAACACAAAAGTAAAATTGAGATTGGGTGCATTTTGTATATAACTTGGAGAGAACAAAGACCACAGTAAAAAATCACAGCGCATATTTATAAAAAAAACCTTGTCTATATTTAAAGTTTTAGAAAATATTATAACCTATAACTGAGCGAGATATCATTTTATCTAAGTTTCTAAAGCAACCCAACCCTGGCTTACGCCTAGGTAATAAATAGGAAATGTATATTTTTCTCCCGTCGTTTAGCTCGAAAAACTACTAAATTTCGCTAAAGTGTATGTCTATAACTATCCCGTCCGGGGCCACAAATAAATATAACTTCTACATTTCTAAAGTTATGATTGAGAGTTTTCGCGTAAACAATGTAGTCTGTCCTTAAAAAGCAGAACACTTATTTCACAGTATACATAATATTTTATTTACAGCATTAACTAATTAAAAACATCAAAACAGAACATAAAACATTAAAACATACTTTTCAAAATGTACGAGTGTACCACTTGCACTAGCGCGCGGATAGATACATCGCTGTGTGAAAATTTCATTAAATGTCGCGTATATGTGCCAGTCAGATTGAAAGAGAAAACAAAATCTAGAACTGGGTGTCAAGTTGGATATCTCTGTCTGAGGTACGAGAAAAGCATGTCTTTGACACATTGCTACCACTGGATTGTAACATGGCGGTTAGCCACGTATAGCCAATAACTACAGTCAATTTGCTGGGCATGTTAATAACTATTTATCTATGATTTTAAACAACTCTCAAATTGGCCTAAGACGCTATAATGTTTTTATCATTGTCAAATCTGTCTTTGA